CGCGCTCGGCCCTCTGCTCCCGGGCCCGGAGACTAACCCCCTGCGGATCCCCCTGCGGACCCCCTGCAGAACTCCCTGCGGACTCCCGGTACCGGTACCGGGCGGAGGACAGCGGGGAGCTGGATCTCGAGGAGTGGTCTGGTCAGCCCGACAAGCTTGGGTCTGCTGGCCACGCTCCGCACCCAGCACGGTGACGGGTGTTAAAACAAACGTGGCTTTGCTTTATGGAGTTGTGTCGGGCGTGAAGGCGTTGATCACAGAACCCTTTTTGTTTCCAAACGCTGCAGGAGGTGGCATCAGCCGCCTTTCCTCTACTGGGCTGTTTTCCAGGGAATTCACATAGCAGTTCTCTGAGTAAGCTGGAGGTTGCTCTCCAAAAGCCTGGAGTCCTAAGCCTGCTGCTTCCCCGCCCAGCCTTTCCCCAGATCATTTCACTTGGTCATTTCATAGTTGCTGCATCCCAAGCTGCCTTTTGCTGCCATGGTTGCCCTCAGTTCTTCTCCATTTGTGAGCAGAAGATCAAGTAAAGCATTAGACAGGTTGGCCTTTACAGTATTTTTGTCAAAGCATGATCAAGGGGGTCTGTGAGGTTTCCAGGTTGCCTTACAAATGCTGTATTGTCCTCCCTGCAGCTGTCCAGACTTCTGCTAGTTGCCTCTAGGAAGCTTCACCTCTTGCCTCTTCTTGGCTGGGTGGCCTGTAGCACCCCCCCCATCCCACCTTTCCTCCCCCCTGTGACCCAGGGGCTTTGACCAAGCGTGTCTCTGGAACCCCATGTGCTCAGGGAGCTCCTCTGCGGGGCACGTGCCTTCCCCTCTCCCCCTTGTTCCCTGCCCGTCGCTGGTAACTCCTCCATGACAGTGCCAAAATACTACGTGCTGTCTCAGCCCGCATCCCCTGCTCTGCGTTGTAGCCCTGTGGCTGGAGGTGAATTTCCAGTTCTTGTCTGGTGCCCAAGTTTTGCGTGTTAGTCTGCGGACACCTGAGGGAAGCCTCACTTCCCTTCAGAGCAGGAATCGGAGTCTCCCTCTTGGCCTCCTCCTTTCCATACTTCGTTCTCAGTTTGCAGCAATCCCTCTCAGCTCTGAACTTCAGTCCCTGTCCCTTAATGAACTGAGTGTAAAGCTTCCCTCAGCAGGTTAGCAAGGCTAGTTACTGGTATTTTCTTTGTCCCAGAATAAACGGCTATAGTACATTTACACTGAAACTGGGAAGCTGGAACCATCAGAAGATGAGATTTTTTTTGATCAGTCTTCTGAGAAGTGCACTGGGGAGAAGCCTCCTGGGTATTTTTGAAGCAGAGCTTGAACATTTGCGGTGAATTTACATGATGTAGAGAACTGGTTGTGACTGTCAAGGGATCTCTTCCCTTCGAGCCGTGTGATCCCTGATGTTATCCAAAACATTAGCAGGCCTGCTATTTTGTGCTGTGTGGTTTGATCTTGAAGCAATGTAGCCATTTACTCAAAACTGGCACAGTAACTTAGATCCATTAGTACCATTCTGCTGCACTATGCTTTTCTCTGTTTTAAAAAGACACATTCCCAGGCCTATGAATTTGGAACATAAATTAAAAATTGTGGGTTAATGTGTCCTGTTATGTGGTCTTTTGCAGGAGATGGCCCCTTTCCGGGAATTATTGACTTGTATGGAACTGGAGGAGGACTCCCTGAGTACCGGGCATGCCTGCTGGCCAACTATGGCTTTGCTGTTCTGGCTCTGGCTTTCTATGGCTATGAAGATCTCCCCAAAGAGATGAAGGAATTCCACCTGGAATATTTTGAAGAAGCCGTAAACTATATGTTACAACACACCCAGGTTGGTTTGTTCATTGACACTCTCTCACTACAGGGGACTCTCAGTAGTCGAGTCCTGCCAGGCAGCAGATGGGGCAGAGCTGCTGTACTTAAAATACCATCTCTGTTCAAGTTGGCTGTAATTAATTTGTTTCATATCTTTAACTCCCATTACAATGGTTCTCTGGCAGATTATTCCAGTTCTTCCTTTTGAACTGGCCAGGTGACACAGTGACATGTGGGTCACATACTGGTAATTTCTGCGCCATTCAACCCAGTGTCTAGTTACTAGTTGCCTGGAGGCTTACTGGACCTCCAGCGGCACTTTTACGCTCTGTAGAATGTCCTTCAGAACTTAGAATGTACTTCAGAACTAAATGCTCTTTTCAGCCATGGAGCACATGACAAGCTGCTGTGATCCAGGTCTTAAAGAAGTACACCAGTACACATTCATTGCTGTGTACTGTATAAGCCGTTAATGTCACTCCAAATGTCGGTATTTGGTGGGCGTGGTTTTTAGTAGCTGGTTGTGAACTCAAGGTTCCTTTTGAGTCGGCATCTCTCGGAAGAGAGCCCCGCTCGGTTCTGCGTCTGCTTGCAAGTAGCTGTGCCTGACAATAATGATAGAACTGCACAAGGCAACACTTGGTCTCTCTGGAGAAGTCAGAATAAATCACAGAATCACAGAATGGTTGGGGTTGGAAGGGACCTCTGTGGGTCATCTAGTCCAACCCCCCTGCCGAAGCAGGGTCACCTACAGTAGGCTGCACAGGACCTTGTCCAGGTGGGTCTTGAATATCTCCAGAGAAGGAGACTCCACCACCTCCCTGGGCAGCCTGTTCCAGGGCTCCGTCACCCTCAGAGGGAAGAAGTTCTTCCTCATATTCAGATGGAGCTTCCTCTGCTTCAGTTTGTGCCCGTTGCCCCTTGTCCTGTCGCTGGGCACCACTGAAAAGTCTGGCCCCATCCTCCTGACACCCACCCTTGAGACATTTATAAGCATTTCTAAGGTTCCCTCTCAGCCTTCTCTTCTTCAGGCTGAACAAGCCCAGCTCCCTCAGCCTCTCCTCATAGGAGAGATGCTCCAGTCCCCTCATCATCCTCATAGCCCTCCGCTGGACTCTCTCCAGTAGCTCCTCATCTTTCTTGAACTGGGGAGCCGAGAACTGGACAGAGTACTCCAGATGGGGCCTCACTAGGGCAGTGTAGAGGGGAAGGAGAACCTCCCTCGAAGATGAGTCATCGTTAAAAGTCTTGGTTGCTTTTCAGTCACCGTAACTGCTCATCCACCTCTCTTCCAAAAAGAACTCTGAAAATTGCTTTCCCCCCCACCTTTTTTCCCCCGAGAGCAGTACCATAGCCTCCTGTTAACATGTCCACTGATAGCCCCAACATGTTTTTAACATCTTGCAAATTTGAAGCCATATTCTCTGTTCTCCCCATTTCCACGCTTCAAAGTCTGTGGGTTTGGAGCCTATTACACTGGTGATAAGGTACAAAAGGTATTAAATTTTGTTGCTGTCTCAGAGGCTTTGTACCCCTGAGGGTCTTTGGATGTTGGAGCAGTTGCAATATTACCTAACCTTCTTCCAGTGTCTATAGAGGATTTCAGCACCCTGTACAATCATTTAGCTTTCCTATTCTAGTTAATTTGCCTGTGTAAAAGAAAATGAAGCTAACCTATTCTATATTGACTCCAGAGGACTGTACAATTAGCTTAGAAAAAGGGTTTTAGTAAGTTATTTTTTTAAGATACGTTTTAATGAGTAACCTACCTCAGAATACTTCCTTTTCACTGTGAGTTAGACACGAAGCATACTAGAGAAATGGGAGAGCAGCTGATGTGGAGTCTGCTCCCCCATGCTAGCTGCTTAATAGGGGAATTGAAGATGGTGGTTGAATGTAAGAAATACATTCTCATAACTGGTCACGGTGTCATAGTCATTGCTGACTTTGAGCACTTTGCACTGAAAGAAAGCATTTGTAGAAGAGGCCTCCCCTGCCCCTTCCGTTCCTCTGCTTCCCTGAACTGCCTTGTAAGCAAAGTGAGTCTGGGGCTGCACATCTGCATATGCTTCAGCACTGACCCTTGTAGCTTTGTCAGGATGATGCTGCAGTCTCAGTGGGGCTTATGATCATTGCTTGTGGTTTCTCTCCCCTCCAGGTTAAAGGTCCAGGGATTGGGTTGCTTGGAATCTCAAAGGGGGGTGACCTGTGCGTCTCCATGGCCTCCTTCCTAAAGGGCATCACGGCCACCGCCCTTATCAACGGCTCGGTGGCAAATGTGGGCGCAGTGCTCCGCTACAAGGACGTCACCATTCCACCCCTCGGTGTCAATGCAAAACGCATCAAGGTCACCAAGTCGGGGATTGCCAATATTATCGACGTGCTGAACAACCCGTTGGAAGGGCCTGACCGCCAAAGCTTTATCCCCTTGGAGAAGGCCGAGTGTCGCTTCTTATTCATTGTTGGCCAGGATGATCACAACTGGAAAAGCGAATTCTTTGCAGTTGAAGGAAGCAAACGTTTGCAAGCTCACGGGAAGGAAAAGCCGGAGATAGTCTGTTACCCTGGAGCAGGGCACTACATTGAACCCCCCTTTTTCCCAATGTGTGCAGCCTCAATGCACCTGCTAGTTGGCAAGCCTGTGGTGTGGGGAGGGGAGCCCAAGGCGCACTGTGAGGCACAGATAGATGCTTGGCAGCAGATCCAAGCCTTCTTCCGCAAACACCTCACGGCGAAGCCACCTGGAACATCCAGTAAGCTGTGAAGGTTACTTTACAGCTGAAGGTGCTGGTGTTTCCAGTTTATTTTGGTAGATGGCTCTGAATGACAACAAAGAACATCAGAGAATAAGCTGTTTGGTTTCTTGGAGGGTAGTGAGTGAGAGCCTGAAAGCTGCTTTCTTTTAACACCCTGCACTAACCTTGGTTAGAGGTCTTGGCCTCCTGTTGTGTGTAGCATGGGGTTACATGCTGTGGAAAAATGGTGGTGGTAAGGCTGGGTCTGCTTTGAATGTGAATTTAAGTGGAAGACATCTCATCCAAGCTGAGAACTGGAATGAAGATTTGCCTTGGCTTTCTCTGAGGAAACGTGCTGGATGCCATTGCCCTCGCCAGAGCCAGCTTCGTGCTCGAGTTTCTCTGGAAGCAGCTGTTCACTCTTCCTGCCTCCAGTGACCTTTCTGTTCTCCCTGGGCACTTCCCTCTCCTGCGTTGCTCCTTCCTCTTCTCCACATCACTGCCGTAATTACGCTTAATGTCTAATATCTAATACTTCACTTACCGAAAGCAGTGACACTGTGCCTGCCTCCTCAGGTAACGCATCTCCTGCTCAGAGACAGCAGCAGCCCGTAGCCTGATGCGGCATTCTGGCCGCACGCGGTAGAAGTGAGACACTTGTGTGGGCTTGGAGAATTCGTAAGCGTGAAGAAACAACAGAACTGGTCCCGCTGGTGGTCGTGCGTGGAGCTGCTCGTGGGCGTCTCCTCAGCAGGGCTGGGTGTCCCCCGTCGCCGCAGACC